TTCTTCTTTACTGTTCGTATAATTGACCAGTTGTAAGTGTTTTAGTGGCACATCAAGTATGGAATATGTAAACAGATGTTTTAAAGTGGACGCTATCATGCTATATTTGAATAATATAGTGTAGGACTAACCTAAGGCATTTTATACTTTTTATTTTTCAAAAATACCAAAGATCATGCATTTTAGGCCATTCCTCATATTCGCTCAATTTAACACTGGTTCTTTGCATGGGCTGATTCTGTGAGAACAGCACCATCTACAGGCCTGGCATATGTACTAAGCGTCTCCAGCGCTTTCGAACGGCAATGTCCGTGGCACGTGTTCCTCCTGATTGGTGGAGTTGGCGCCAATAGTCCGTAGCGCCACTTCTGTGATGTCATAGAAGTGTTTAAATCGGGCGGAATGCAGTCCTGTTATGCAGATCCCGTTGGCAGCCCCTCTTTTTAAGAGATTTGGGTAATTCGGAGGAAAAATAGAAGAGGGGTTGTGTTTTTTGACACTTGGTGAGATTCCCTGGAACACCGGGGAAACCATATTCATGTATAAAAGAAGTACAAAAGTGGGCATTTTGCCGTTCAGCTTATGAATGAAGTAGAAACCCCTTAAAAAACCTTAAAAACCAAGCTCTTTTATATATATCTGGTGGGCAGTGTTAAATGGGCATCTTAAAGGCCCGACACACCAAGCAGTCACCAGAGAACTCGCCGACGCCAACTGTTGTGTCGCCGTGTTCTCCTGCGTCTTGGCCATATGTCGCACCGGAAAACACCGCAAAGACTTCAACCGAGCAGGTATGAACTGAGCATGCGTGACTGGCAATAACTCTCCTTACCAGCAGGCGGCGGTAGTGTGTATTCGTCATTCAAAAGAGGCAACAACCGGAAGACAGAGAAGAAGAACAGACTACGTGATATAAACAAACAACAAATAGCGTCTGCGTTCCATTTTCACTCTCGTCCATCGAAAGCATGTTTCGTGCGGTACTGGAGCTATCAGCCATTGGAGTGTTGCTTGTGGAAGACATTCTCAAGCAACCGTTTTGCTTCTCATGCACTGATTCGCAAGCTGAACAGCCAATCAGAGTGATTTCTTTGGCCGACTGCCTGTGGCCGACGCACGGCCATGAAAGGCCAAATAAGGCGTGTCACGGCCGACGGTGCGGGACACACCAAATTGGGTTTGGGCGACAGGGCACGCTTCATCATCCTACTAACGAAAACGGACGATTTCGGCCTGGTGTGTCAGGGCCTTTACTTGAATTTTACACATTGTGGTAAAAAACGACCCTTTCCTAGAGACAGAGGTGTCATAAGAACATTTCTTATTTCTTACCTTAAAACGAAATACATTCTGTCTACTATCAAGCATGTGGCTGGTTTTCAAAATAGTTGAAAACACATTTTATTGTTTAAGTCTTACATCCAGCTCTACTCCAGTTGTTTGACCTTCTAGCTTTTTTGTAACCTACCTACAAATAAATAAGCTTTGCAGATGTCACAGAGAAAATGCATTAAGTGTGATAGCTAGCACTGTAATAGGGATCCAGTTGCCTTGCATAACTTTCTAATATGTATTTCTTAACATAAAGGTTTGAAGTCAAATAGCATCTTACACCATTTCTAAAACTATGAGCGATGATTCTATGAAGGTAGATATGGCACAAAATGCAAGAACGTGTAAAACCTAATTTGAGCACTTGCAGAAAAAAGATTGTGCGCATACATTTACACTTGTATAATCCACGTATCTGTGAACCAAATTTGAAGTCACAGAAGAAAAAAAAAAGTTTTGTAGCTTGTAGAATAAAAATGAACTTAGTGATGAAATGTTCAATTGCAGAAACATATATATATTTTAAATATATTTTCCATTACAACTGCAACTTGGTTATTACAACCTCTCAAATCAGTCATTACAACTTCATGAATCTGCTCTGTGGCAGGTTCCTTCATATGATTCATGCATACAAAAATGGTCACACACACACACACACACACACACACACACACACACACACACAGGTGTCACAGCGGCAATGTGAGACCTCATCTTAACTGACCTTAATGACTTCTGAATCCTGCCTCGATCACCCACTTTCCTCTGCCCCTTTCCCTCTCTCTCTCTTTCCCTTTACCATGTGTCTACCTCCATCTCTCCCTGGCTCACATGCATCCTATTAGCATAGTGCTATCTTTAACCTACCTCTCTCATTCTTTAATGAAGCAAGGGAATAGGTGAAGGGTATTTAATGAAATCATAGTGTGACCAGCCCTCCTAAATCATCTGAGCAGGTTAAGGATCAAATGGCTCTTTACACTAGATCATGCGGACCTTAAACCTGCATGTCCCAGTAGATTCTGATTGAGTTTGTCATGGTCAAACTAAATATGCATTTTGTAACTATTTTATTGTGTAATAAGGACTATGGAAAAATGGTACGAATATGCTTCCAGCAGAGCAATCAGTTAAAGAACTGAATAAAAAATATATTGGAGTTCATTTCTGTTTTGTTTTTTTAATGGCCAAATGTTTTGGTGAGGGAAAGTGAGGTGAGAGACGGATTTTTATGAGGGTAAATAGAGGTAGAGTCATTTGAGAGACGAGAGTAAGCTGAGCGAGGAAAAGACGAAACGAATGATGTGACAGGTTGAGCCGTCTCGTGGAAGAACAGACAGTAAAACTGGTGATACAGGATGTACGTAGTCTTAAAGAGATGTCTGGGTGAACAAATCTATGTCTGTGATATCAGTTTAAAGTGTCAGGGAAAAATCCTGTGCGGCAAATAATCTAGGTTAAAACCACTTATTTTTCGCCGTGATACCTGTAAAAAAATCAGATAAATACAAACAAACACAGAGCCAGATGCATAGCAACTTTGTGTAAATCCAAGGCTCAGCAGACAGAAATATATTCTTTACATACGAATTCTTAGGCTGTGTGATGTTGCTTAATCTTTAAAAGATGCAATCTTACATCAGGCATATATGGAATATCATTGCGAAAGGCTTTGTCATGTGCATGCTTTTTGATTGTATGCACTGTTTATGCATTTGGCTTAGGGAGTAGTGTCTGAAGCCATATAGTCAATGCCAAGAGGGAAAAATATGTTCTACTGAAAATAAACTGTAGTCCAAAAACAGCACACACATATATCATCAACAGCCGTCAATGTTCAGAGCTGATGACTGATAGTTGAATGCAGAAACAGTATCACCATCACAATTCAGTCTTTTCCCCCAAAACATAGTTCAAATGTATTGCCAAATAAACCCTGTCTGTGTACCTTCCATAAAACACATTATTGCATTAGAGCGCTAAGTGTGAATGTTTGGGAAAGGTCACTCGGAAAGTGGGACATGATTGGCGAGTGGTTATTTGCAGTCAGTCATCGTTGTGACGCAAAAATCCATAGGGAAGAAGAGTTGCCTCTCTCTCCCTGGCTGAAATTGACCACCAATCGATGGTCTGGGAAATTGGTCCGTGGTGCAGAGCTATGGGGTGTGGAGAGAGAGGGGGCTGAAACTGTTTGGTGAAGCATTAGCTAAAGATTATTTATGATCATACATATATTTCTGCTGACACATCGTCAGCAAGGCCTTGGATTACGGGTCTTTCATTATGCACCAAATGTTTCTGTTTTCTTATTCTAAATGGCAGACTTGGAATTGTATTTCTCTGCAAATGGCTACTCTGTGATTACATGCTGCAGTCCAAATGAGGATCATTTACTCATCTACTTTGTCCCCTCATTTAGTCTCAGTTCTGTAAGCCCAAATGTGAAGCGCTCTCATTGCCGTTTATTTATTTCTATCCTCTATCCAACCCTCGTCTCCTTCATTTTTGCTGGCTCCATGCACTCTTCCCATTTTCTTCTTTCATTCGACCTCTCTTTCTAATTTTCTCCCTTTTCCCGGTAGGCTACCACAGAGACTTGGAGATGAGCTTATCGCTTTCTGAATTACAGGACCAAGCTGTCATGCTGGCTCTGAAAAGCCTGTATGTGCGTGTGTGTGCGTGTATTCGCGAGATGTGAGCAGCTTCCAAGTTGCTTTAAATTAGCTTCTGTATGGAGACATTACTGACATGATAGCTTTGATGGGATGCATCCACAGATTATGACCATTTGCTGCTTTGTTGCTTTAATACAACGCCGACTTGTCCAGGGTTTTCTTTACTTTACCCCCTCAGCGACCCAGAAAAAGCAGTGCACGTAATCGCTGGACCAATCAGTGGCCGAAATGTCATTTAACCTTTACAAGAATAGCAGCACAGGATATTTCAAAGTGGCATAGTCAGAAGTGACCGAAATGACTTAGTATTTGTTACTATCAAAAAGGATACCAGAAATGGTCAAAAAAACCTGTGCAAGAAAATATTTTGTTTTGTATTTGAAATTCTTCATCAGACATCAATCAGAAACCATTAGGGTCGCAAAACAAGATGAGAGAAACTGAGAAAAGCTTATTTTCCAAGAGCAACAGTGACTACTTTTCACATCTAACAAAAACAGACAATTCATTTATTGTCAATAAGGACAAAACAAAACAGATTAGTCTATAACAGTAAACAACAGAGACTGCAACCATCCCACTTTATTTTCTATATAAATATATATTTGTTTAATAATTGATTAATTATAATTGTTTGTATGAACAATTGCATAAAGGCCAATGGAGTAATTGTTAGAGAATGCATTTTATTGAAAATGGATGAATGACTACAGTTCTGCTAAAAACTATTTTAGCAGCACTACTACCACATTACCCCAGTCATACCTTCCAGGCTTGTTATAAAAGCAAGCGTTATCATTATGATATTTGAATATGCATACATCGTATTTGGATGAGAAACATTTGGTTGATCATCAGCTACGTGTTTTGATCATTACTTTCTCATGTTACCTCCAAGATGTTTCTCCCATGAGTCAAGAAAGGATCTAAACACTTTGGGGATTGCTGTTGCTTCTGCTGGAGGAACATATGTAGAGATTGATCCATGCTTCAAGTTCTGAATCGGTAAAACACAACATATCAGCAATAAAATATGAAATGATCAAAGAGCATGTAACTGCAAGTAAAGGCAGGATCTTCATTGTTCTTTCAGTTCTTATACAGTGAATTACCTTACTTGCACTTTGAGTTTGTCTCCTACATTTTAAAAAGCCATGGTGGTTGGCCGGAGGAGATGACATACACACTAACAATGCTGTGGGAATTGATACTTAATGCATGCATTGCCACCTCTAATATATTTCTTTCTACTCTACCTCTTTTGAGACTATGGCCTTCATCTCCTGAAGCACCATTTAGGGTGTATTGCCTCTCCACCTTTCATGAGGTTTAAGCAGCTACCTGTTGCTATTCTTGCATGCAAGGGCGCCATTCATACATCTGCAAACCAGTGCATCAGAGCTCCTTGCTAAAGAGGTGCGTTGCATTCAATGACAAGTGACACCCACCATCATGTTGTCTTGCTGTCCAGCAAGTTGCTGTGTTCGGGACTTGATTGACAAATCTAAGCTTGAGATGATTTTTCTCTTCATGCTCTCTGCTGCCTCTTGATTTTTTAAGCAGTGTTTTTCTTGTCCTCTCTGTACACTGAATTTCTATCATATCTTGAATCATGGTACCTCAACCAAAGAGAATGGTTGGTTGCCTTCTCAAATCAATTTGAGCAAAAGCTTGTCAAGCGAGGCTTGTGTTACTGATGGGGGACAGAGGGGCAATGCTGTTGTGATCTTTGCAACTCACAGGGTTTTATTTAACATTAGGTGAGGCTCTTGCTTTCTGCTATGTTTAAATACAATGTAAAGTCTGCTGATGTCTTTTTGGTTTAACCCTCTGTAGAAAAAACTACCAAAATGTGTTTTTAATAAGGTGAACAATTTCTCTCTGAAACATTTGGTATTTGTAAAATAAATGCTTGCAAAGTTATGTAAATATGTAAGAGTGGATGTATTAACCTTATATTAAAATTCATGACCGTGGCTGAAAACCGTAACTTAGACAAACACAAAATATGAAATACTAAGCACCAGTATTTCACTTAAAAGCCAGTTTGTTTTACACCAATGCATACAATAAATTGGTTTTGATCTATAGCAAACATAAATACTTTGCGATATAATTGCAAAACAGTATTGCTTTACCCTAACATTGAGAGAGAGAGCAAGAGTCCACAAACATCTTGAATGCATGGCATCTAGTGTTAAAACTGTGAACATAAACTTAACACAGAAACAGATGAGCCTACTTTCTGTCAGCATTGTGTCTTGACCAGGTTTTGTTATGCTTTGATAAATATTTTTCCAAAATAATTCACGAGTGAATTAACAAATTGCTGAATATATTTGTATAAATCCTAACTAGTACTCAATTTTGATCTCAGCGTGAGTGGGTGAGCAACATAGTGATATCTTCACTAAATGGATGTTTACTTTTAATAGCACTGTGTAATATATGGTAATACTACTTACTACAGTTTTGCTATATGTTTTTTTTGTACAGTCTTGTACTGACACGACATTCACACCTGCTTGCAATACCTCTTCCAACTTTGCTACTGTAAATGATATCAAGAAAAAAGAAAGACAACAAAGGTGTATTAAATGCTCTGACAACATACATTTTGATCAGCTTCTGAATGAAAGTAAAAGGTCTGTCATTACATAAATACACTACTAGCGGTGAAATGCAGACTTTGGTGAGCTGCCATGCAATATTTATGAAAAGCAACAGCTTCTGCTCCACATTCATTGAAGGACAGTGTCATGTTGCCCAATAAAACAGGGATCTATCTCCCACCTGGAACCCCTGTACACACCTCCCTGCTGAAGAAAAATGCAATTATTGAGCCGAGCCACGCTTAACTGCTCCCTGGTGAGTTTTTCGAGGTTAAAAAAGGGCTGATGTTTTCTGTTTATCCATTTTTCTTTGAGCTCTTCTAACTCTGATGACAGTTGGTAGAGAGTAAATTGAACTCACACAGGGACGCTTCCAACTGCTACTTTTTATTCTCCGACAACAGGGAGTTTCCATTCATTTCTGTTATTTGTTCCATAATATTATATGTGATACAAAAACAGTGTTGACACATCTGAGGCAATGTTCTCTGTTGGGAGACGGGATCATGTGTTTTAAATGGGAAGACATTAAGACAAAGATCAACACGTAATAAGTTACATTACAATATTAATGTCTCGTTGTTACTGTAATGAGTTACACTACTTTTGTATTAGTGTAATTCACCAAAATAACCGCAAAATAAATGCTAGGTATTTTATATGCTTAGTGCAGCTCATTATACATCCAGTGAAGGGCAATGTGGTATAGCATAACAACTTAGGCCACTAAGGCTACTAACAACTTTTATTAAACAGCTTAGTTGAATACTCGATTCTGATTGTAAATTCTTAACATGTGACACGTTGTTAATACAGTAGTACAGGCCACTGTCAAGGACTATAATGAAGGTTGCTAAGGAGGATCAAGAAAGAGAAAGGAAAAGAGATTAAAATACAGAACGCTGGATGTCAGATAAATCACCAGAAGAAGGTAGAGAGGAAGTTAAAAATAACAGGAACACGGAATGGGCTCTGTATTTTGTATAGTATATGTATGGCCATGTACAGGCCCGGTTCCAGAACAAAATGACTCAGGGTGCCTCTGAGATTACAGGGGGTGCAGCAGTAGTAGGTTTACATGAGCAATAGTGGTTGGCAACAGCAATGAAAAATAGCATTGATGGTCCCCAATGAACAGATTATGGCCTTTGTTATGTTTTGAAACCAAGCAAGTGAGAACATTTCAAGTGAGTTAGAAGTGCAATCCTGAAATATTTCATATAGTCCATAGTGGACTATGGGAAGGAAAAGCACAAAAGCTTCAAAACTGTACTGATAAAACAAATGAGAACATATTGTAAATCAAGGCAAATATTATTTGAACCAGCTCATGGTTTGAAATGGCAAACATTGAAAAGCAAAAGTATTATTAAAACCATGTACTACATCATCACCTTGGTCCCATCATATACTCTGGGAAGAGAATATTTACTGTGCTTGAAAACTGTTATCACATCATCATGTGAGGTTGACTTTGTGACCTGGAGAACATTTCAGCTGCAATATTAGCTTGCAGACTGCCTTCCTACAAAAAACGACCATATAGGCCGATTGTTCATGCCCTTATTACGACCCAGAGACACGTTTTAAAGTGTATGTTGTTTCTTACACGACCACTAGAGGTGCTCTAGTGGTCGTGTAAGAAACAGCATGCTCCCGGCCCTTCATTGCAAATGCTCCGGAGGTACGTTTATTCACAAATAACCCTCTCTGGAAAATCCTAAATTGTGGAATAGTTTGGCCATTAAAATGCTTTTTGATTCAATTTCTGGCGAGAAGTGTATTGTACTCTTAGAATCCACGTCCAGTCGATGTGTATGATCTATAGTTTGATAGATATTACGAAGATGATTTGAGGTCTCGCCAAGATAATGTGTATGCAGCTTCCATGTAAAGTTAGCGTGGGTGAAAACAGATTTTCCGGTCTCGAACTTTTCCTAATAAAACCGGATATATTCCCCTCACTGTGAAATGATTACAGAGTGATATCTGCATTATTCTTCCTCTAAAAAACATCAGTTTATCCTTTTTAATTACACAATATTGATTGTTTTAAATTGTGTACAATGCTTTTGTATTTTTAACCTTCGATTCAGAGAAACAAATAGTTTTTTCGAAGTTTAGACACTACAGTTTCCGAAGACACTACACTACCCAGAATCCCCAGCTATCGTTTGGGACTACAACATCGACCTTGCTTTACAAACCCCGTGATTAGTCATCAAGCCATGTGATTGGATGTTGGAGTGGCAGTGCGACAAGGTTACGCTGAGCGTCAAACAGCTCTATGAAATGGAATAGAACAACGGCAGACAATCCAAAACTGGAATTGGACGGGTCCAGCCCCCCACCCCCCCCAGAACTACTCATGCTGGCTATTGTGTGTTTCGCAACATGTTCTATGGCACGTCTCTTTATAAGACGTTTTCGTATTTCCCATACCAAAGTTGCCAGTATTAAACTGTGTACACCCTGGAGGTTTAGGGTATACGAAACACAGTGGTGTTATCAAATGTAAAACATATAATTAAGAAATGGGTGAANCGACAAGGTTACGCCGAGCGTCAAACAGCTCTTTGAAATGGAATGGAACCACGGCAGACTATCCAAAACTGGACTCGGACGGGTCCAGCCCAGCCCCCCCCAGAATTAAACATGCTGGCTATTGTGTGTTTCGCAACATGTTCTATGGCACGTCTCTACTGGGAATTGTAGTTTTAAAAGACGTTTTTTTCTCGTATTTCCCACAATTAGAAGTTGCCAGTATGAAACTGTTTACACCCCTGAAGGTTTGGGGGATACGGAACACATTGGTGTTATCAAATTAAAAAAATATAATGAATAAATGGGTGAAAATTGCTTGTGTCCATAATGGGCAGCATTAATATATACCCACATGACAGCTAAGGTCAGAATAGCTTTATTTAACAGCTGGTCTTATGTCTGTGACCCCTCCCGTTGTAAATTGATAAGCCTGAAACATGAACTTGTATATGTTCAGAGGCAAATTTTGCAAATATGGCAAAAGCCATCGATCATAATAAGATAAGATAAGATACACTTTATTGATCCCAAGTTGGGAAATGTTTTTTGTTACAGCAGCATGTACTACTTTTTTCTACTCCACTACAATTCAGAGGTTAACCTGGTATTTTTACTCCACTACATTTATTTTTGTTACTTTGCAGATTCTGATTATCAGAATCTGCAAAGTAACAAAAATAAATGTAGTGGAGTAAAAATACCAGGTTAACCTCTGAATTGTAGTGGAGTAGAAAAAAGTAGTACATGCTGCTNCAATATTCTTGAGATGTCTGGTGTGAATCGCTCTCTTGAGGTCATGCCACAGCATCTCAATTGGGTTGAGGTCAGGACTCTGACTGGGCCACTCCAGAAGGCGTATTTTCTTCTGTTGAAGCCATTCTGTTGTTGATTTACTTCTGTGCTTTGGGTCGTTGTCCTGTTGCATCACCCATCTTCTGTTGAGCTTCAATTGGTGGACAGATGGCCTTAAGTTCTCCAGCAAAATGTCTTGATAAACTTGAGAATTCATTTTTCCGTCGATGATGGCAATCTGTCCAGGCCCTGAGGCAGCAAAGCAGCCCCAAACCATGATGCTCCCTCCACCATACTTCACAGTTGGGATGAGGTTTTGATGTTGGTGTGCTGTGCCTTTTTTTCTCCACACATAGCGTTGTGTGTTCCTTCCAAACAACTCAACTTTGGTTTCATCTGTCCACAGAATATTTTGCCAGTAGTGCTGTGGAACATCCAGGTGCTCTTTTGAAAACTTCAAACGTGCAGCAATGTTTTTTTCTGGACAGCAGTGGCTTCCTCCATTTTATGACCAACTTATGCAGAAATCCAGGTAATTCCAAAGGGTTCACATACTTTTTCTTGCAACTGTATATAAAAAAAAAAAGAAGGTATTACGCAACTTCCACCCACCCCAAAATAATAATAAACACCCTTAACAAATCTCAGGGGCTTCTTAGCAAGGCGTTTTTACTAACTTGAGTTATGTTTAGATGGCACAACTTTACAGGCTGCAATAAGGAAGCAGAGCGAGAGAGATAAAACACCAAGAGTTCATGAAAATCAAAAAAGTCAGAAATACAAAGTTGGAAAATAATATGGAAAGGGATTTGAGCACAGAGAGGGGGAAGGAGACCAGAAAACTTGCAGAGGCTCAGCATTGTGCTGCTAATGTGGCCCAGGCATGGGTAATCCAACAAAGGTTACTGTGGAGACCAACAATGAGGCTCTGAGGGGCCCAGACTGCTCAGACGCGACGGGAGAGGAGGGAGGAGAGTGGGAAGGGACATACGACAGGGATAGGGAGGGGGGTTCTACCAAAACAAATCTACATATAAACCATCCAACCTTGCTTTTGCCAAGAGAAGAGAAAAAAGCACCCTGTTGTTTAAACGACGAATAGGAAAGCTTCCAGGAAGTTGTGTGACATCATGGAAAGTTATATCACTATGAAATCTCTTTTTTCTTTCCGGTTGCAGCACTGAATAATCTGTGTTAAGAAGATGAGTAACTGAAAGCTGAAAAAAGCGGCCACTTTGGGTCAATGAAGAACGGAACAACAGCACGTGTGTTCAGGCAGCACTCGCTCAGAGCTTTGAGGTGGAAGTGTCATTAGTTTTGCAGAAATGTTGTTAAGAGATTCTCAAAACTTCATATGGATGCTTGTCTCAAATTAAAGACTGGGCTCTGGTTTCAGACAGAGGGTGAAAGGACGTGCTGCAGCACGAGCAGTATGAGAAAAATACTTTTTGAACATTAACACATGTAAACATGTCACAGTAGAGGCACAACATAAGAAGATAACCCTGTAAATTAGCATAATAGGGCCCCTTTAAAATGGAGGGAGATATTAGGAGATTTAGCAGAGAAAGGAATTATGATTTAGAAGAGACACAGTTAAGAGAGAAGGGGGCTGGAAAATCATTGTAAAAGATGCACAAGGCTGACTCCTTAGGTCGCCACAGTGGCTTTCTATTTTAGAAAGAAAGGTGGAGGTCAGTAGCACCGACCCATGCAATGCTGCTCTTCGCTCAGACCTTTGCACCTTGCATACCTTATACACAAAATATCTCTGAGAAAAACTACTGACCCCCAGAGAAGGCTCAGCTGAATTTTGACAAACACACACATTTAATAGAGGTCACTTACACTTGCCTCCATTTTGATTAAATTATTCTTCAACTTCTCAATAATATGCTTGGGATTTACTGTCTTAGCTTTTGAATTATTAAATTCACTGCCTGCTACTGCCGAAACAACACACATGAAGGTAAATACTTTAATATTTATATTTTTCTTCTAGTTCTCTATCTGTGTTTTAATTGTTGTTTTACTTTTATGTATGCACCACGACACCTAGTCAAATTGCTCGTAAGTGTAAACCTACCTGGTAATAAACCTGTTTCTGATTCTGAATGGAGGGTAGGTATTACTGAACCCCTTTTACTCTTTAAAATCTACGCACATTTCCCCTCCGTGGGTATAATAAAGGTATTCTGATTCTGATCAAATTATTCTCAACTGTTACACTATCCGTCACCTTACATTGCAATTAATCATTACTTTCACATTTGTTTGGTACATTTTGTTCAACTCACCAAATATTTATTCAAAAAAGAGCTGATCACAACCGAAATAAGAGTTGTGTGTGTGCGTGTGGGTATGTGCGTGCATATCTAGCACTGCCTGTACCGCAATGCGAGAGCATTTTTTGCGTGTTGGAACATGCATTTCTTATACATGTCTGAACAGACTCAGAGCATTTGGAAATTCAAATAGCCCTGCTAGATGTGTATTAATAACAATAACAACAAAATTCCGTTAAACCAGTTTGCATCTTGTTCCAATATGCACAACGAAAGAACTGTTGCTGACTCTGAATCTGAATATTAAACCTCTATACTGATCCTGTAGCTCCTTCTGATGTTTATTGTGGAACTTCATACCCAACATGCTTAGACCATGTATATACTGTAAGTTGAAAAGACTATAGTCAATATTCTTGTTATGGGTGTGTTTGATTTACTCACCCTGAAGCTATGAGCGCTCTGGACTGGGCCATGGCTATCCTCTGCAACGCTGGTCTACTCAGCCCCGCTAAGCTAGATCTCTGTGGCAACGGGGCATGGCACATTGTTGCCGCCGCCGACAGTGGGTGCTGCGGCTTCATCGGCATCTGCGACGGTGATGGCACAGGAGAAGGTGGCGTGGTCACATTGTTGGCGGGGGTAACTAATGTGGCGGTTGGCACTGGTTCGTTGGCTGAAGATGAGGAGTGCTTGGGCGGGATGGACGGAGGAGCCGCATTGGGTTTGGAGGATGGAGGCTGAGGGGGTGGGAGGGATGGGGGGGGCGGCCTGTTGGAAGACGAGCTGACCACCAGGGTGGAGGTTCCGGCGGTGAGGGCGGCCAGGGACTGAGCGAAGAGCTGGGCGTTCCTTCTTGGCGAGGAGATGTTTCTGGAGATGGCGAGGCCGTGCGGCAGTGTCTGGTAGTAGTTGGAGTTGCCGTTGGAGTTCAGCTGCTGTCCTCGCCCTAGGGTGGCAGATTTAGACGGACTCAGGGGTTTTGAGGAGATGGGTGGTAGATTCCTGGCCCGTTGCATGGTTAGTGAGCGTCTACCTAGTGTCTGTATCCCTGGCCCTCCTGTATTGGTCTTCACACTAAGGACCAGCATGCATTGCTGGCAGGAACAAGGCTGGCCCAGTCCAGGAACCGGTAGGCCACCATTGGGATAGATAGAGCTTCCTGTCCCTGGGCTAGCCCCCGACACCCCAACACCCAGCAGGGCTCCTCCTCCTCCCCCTTTAGGTATTGGGACAGGACCAGACACCAGAGGGTAGGCTATGTCTGCTCGTCTCTGAAGTCTCCGACACCTCTGGCTCTGTCGGTTTACCTGCAGGAAAACAGAACAAAACATTAGTTTCATGACAATTCTAATTTTAACTAACTATCATTATTACACACCTTAGTTGAATAGTTAATTCTGATTGGTCAATTTGGACATTTAATAGTCTGCTCTTTTTCAATACCAGACTGTTGCTCAGGGTGGTCTGATCAATGGACCATGTGAATTCAAATGAATCCACAGAAACAAGTAACCTGAACGTGGCCAACGTGCTTTTATATTTTTGGAGAGCACAACACTTTGGATTCATGATGGCTGAACTGTCTCCAGTAAAGACAGGAAAAATAGAAGAAGAACAAGGAAACAGCCCGAAATGGTAAAGACACAGAGCGCTGAAAGATGGAGAAATCAACAGAACAAAAGACAGACAGGAAGTAACATGAACACAGCAAGGGCTCTGGAATTGTTTAAAGACTGGTTAATGAAAAATATAATGTGCACAGACTTGGACGGTTACAGAAAATGTTGATCAGTGCTGCCCTCATTTGAAGTTATGTTGCTTGAGGGCAAGAGTTCTGCGCTTAGCGTCTTGATCCTGGTCTTTTTTTTCTGTTAATGTCTTGCTCGCTGCACATTATCCCTAACTGTATGAGGGTCCTGCAGCCTGTAGCTAAATATCCTAAAGGCAAGGAATGACTTGTATGGAAGAAGTTGATTTTGTCATTAATGTCCTTGTTATGAACACACACCTGCGTCATGTTCTGAAAATCAATGACGTAGCAGAAGCCAAGTGGAGTCAGGTCGAAACAGGGCTGCTGCCGGCTGTGGGCGTTCTCGATGGCGATGGCCACCTCCATGTCGTAGGTTGTCCACGAACCTGCATCGTTCTCCCACTCCCACTGCCAGCCCTGACCTGGGGCCGAGGCTGGGTCATAAAAGCTCCTCCGCACCGGACGGATGGTTCCTGATAAAGAAAGATATCAATAAAAAAAATGTTGCATTATTATTAATAATAATAATAATAATAAATTCGATTTATAAAGCACCTTTCATTGCTCACAGCAATCCCAAGGTGAATTATAAAAACAAAAACAAAAAAGTCATCCCGTTTCTTTCAGCTTTTTCAAAAGTAACCAAGAGACTTAGGTAAACTGATTTAGGAGCAAAGCAAAGCTAGTAAAACAGGGATTTAGTAAAAATCTTATTTGACAAAAGCTTGGTAGGATCTTCGCAAAATAAAAAATGACACACAAAACAATTGTATTATGGTAATAGTATACAGTAATATCAAATTAAAAATAGAAAAAAATGATTTATCATAAACTCCCAGGAAAACCATGGGATGAAGTGCGAAAAGATGGGCCCAAAATAGTCCTGCCTTGGTCTGTATTTAGGACATGAACTCGAGGACATCACATGGGTAAAGAGCTACTTCCTGTACAAGCCTTTGGACATTTGAATGACATCACATGCAGTAGTGACCTGAGGTTCAGAGAAACAACATGCACACTGACGTAAATCACCACACTGTCACACTGTGGCCAACCATTTGTGGATATACTGTATGTCTGCAATACATGCCTTTACAATGACTCAATGGGTTACATCTCGTCTTATTGTTAATTTTAAGGTTCTATGTAATACTTAAAAATTGGCCTAAAATGTTACAGTAAATCAACAAATTGAACATTTGGGATCTAGATAAAATGTCTGAGGGTGTTGTTGTATATATATTTCAAAGAATGTCAAAATGTACATATCATTTTCTATTAAATTGTTAAGTGAATCATTAGGCCACTTGAGAAATTTGAATCTAATGGTTGCGTTATATCAGTGTTTCCCCTATATACAAATAACGGCGGCAAAATACATCACATTCATCCAGTTTGTGACAGTAGTTGTAGCATTTTGAGACTTTGAAACTTTAATTACTGCTGTTGCGCGTTTTATCTCACATTCATACATACTGTTTTTACCATCAGTCCAATATTACTAAAAAATCCAAGCACATATAAAAAAAAGTATACAAATAAATAACCAGAGGACAACAGTGTTTGTCTCCAAGTGGGGCAGAAGGGTGGAAGGAGGGTCCCTAAACCCTCCTTCCACCCTTCCAAACCTAAACCAACCAACCAGACACTACCTAAGTCTCCAGGGGTAACAGCCTATTCAGTCAATGCCAGGACAACGAGAGAGAGTGTGTTTGAGAGTGAGCGAGAGAGTAGCACAAAGAGGGGATATTGGCAGAGTGGCATCAGCACACTGACATCAAAAGGAACGGGTTGAATGAATGGGGGGGGGCTGTGATTGTCTGATGTGGACAGTAAGACTGAGAGAGTGAATCAAACTGAGATGAACCCCACTGTATTGTTTGTTGTGTATGAATATTCTGGTATAGTTCATAGCAACTCGAATCCCTAAAAAGAAGATGTCTACGTTACGGTAAGACAGATATGTGGCACCAAGACGTATGCAAGACAAATATTTTTTTGCGGAAGTCTATGACACCCGCCTCCTCTGTGGTTCTGTTTTGTATGAATCCAGCGCAGCGAGGAGCACTTGACCTACTGATTAGCATGTCAAATGTTATTTCTCTCTCCAGTCCATTCACAGCGAGACAGACAGCAGACCGAGAACAAGCTGCGCTGCTGTCTGTGTTTCTGACATGGGCAGAGGAGGCAGCTCCACACATAGCTCAGAGCATGGCCGAGACGTAAACAAAGTAGATGTTTTTAATGGTTTAAACAGGGTGCTAGTATGCAAGGACATCATCACTAGAAATAGAAAGTAAAATAAAATAAACTTGGACAACAGAGAAAATAAAGGATTACATTGTTTTATTATTATTCATAATCAAAAGCTACTTACTTCGATTAAGTCTGCTTTGTGATTTCGCTGAATCTGTTTTATTGTTCCATTTCCAGTGTGTCTAAAACATGGACTTGCTGTGGCAACAAGTCCATTCTAACCACATGCTATTTGAACCTCTGCATTATGCTAATACAAATGCATAATGCAAGTAAGAGACATTAAGGGATCTAACTTTTTTCCCATTCTTACTGTCCAGGACACTATCGTGACTGACATTACTTCTCTGACATTATATTATGTCAACACTAACTGTTATCCAGCGCAAAGTTGCATTCATTTGAGTTAGCATGCTAGTTTACTTACAAACCTAAATTATGAGCTCCCATTAAGAGTTTTGCTCCGAGATATTAATATGGGTTGTAATTTAACAAGAAATTGTATTTTTGGATGAACTGTATGCTGATACATTTCGTTCGGACGGGAGCAGGCTTGTTTTGCTATCCAAGATGTTAGCCAACATATAAGCTAACTTCGCCAGCTAGCAACTGTTGAAAGTTGACGTCCAATATGTCTTCATTAGTCTGTGCCTGCTAATATGACAAACTCATAGTAGGGTTAAACTCGCCTCTAACGCATGGTTGCTTGCTAGTAACAAATGTTTTTTTTTCAAGTGCTTGAAAGTTTGAAAGGGGAAGATTCATAAAAGGTGCATATGAATGTATATGATTGAGAACAACAATTGGGTCAGATGTTTCTCTCACATAGGGAAAAGAAGGCCGGACAGACAGACAGATAGTTTGAAATGTGGGCATGAATTCAGAATATGACCAAAAGACCCTCCTTAGATCCTAAACTAGGCCCAATTTCAGCACAGTAGACTGGGTGTGTGTCTGTTTAATCATATTATGTAAATGCACATATGCTTGGGTGTGCCAAATATCTGCAAATAAATCAGAATCAGATTTACTGGTCAAGTCTAGGTACATGCCCGAACAGATAAAAGCAGATGTTATTGGCTCTTACAGCTGTGGGAGTGTTTGTTACACGCAAATAATTTGCAGGATTATATCCATGTGCACAGAAATGCAGCAAAGTTTTAACACTGCTGCTCTCTCACAGTACCACACCTCTTCTGTCAGCGCTGGATCAACCTATGCTGCTGTGTTCACATGTCACTCACAGCTGGAATCAAGTGCAGCGTGTCTGGTTGTGGCCACACTGCAGTTATGCACGGCTCAGACTGTGCGTTTCAAATATGAACCAAAGGTCCATACATGATCTACGAAAAGAATATAGCTTGAAATGTCATCTAAACCAAGACCATACAAACTTGAGTTGAATGGACTGAACACGTTGTTGTAATGGTGGAGAGATAAAAGTAAACACGTGAAATATGTGTGAATATTTAAAAGCACCAGTGAGAGAAATTAAAATGAGTGAAATCTAGGAGAGGGAGGACAAAGAGAACGAAGGCAGGTGGAGAGAGAGTGGCCATCTGGTCCTGATTGTTTTCATCTCACTACCACTGACCCTCCCTGCACACACACACACGCACGCAGACACACACGCGCGCGCACGCAGACACACGCGTGCACGCGCGCAGACACGCGCGTGCACGCGCGCAGACACGCGCAGACGCGCACACACACACACACACACACACACACACACACACACACACAGACACACACGCGCGCGCACGCAGACACACGCGTGCACGCGCGCAGACACGCACACACACACACACACACACACACACACACACACACACACACACACACACACACACACACATA